TCTATCTATCTATCTATCTATCTATCTATCTATCTATCTATCTATCTATCTATCTATATGTCTGTCTGTCTGTCTGTCTGTCTGTCTGTCTGTCTGTCTGTCTGTCTGTCTGTCTGTCTGTCTATCTATCTATCTATCTATCACTCTCTCTTTATCTCTGTGGGTGGTTGGCGGGTGCTCTGGTGGGGTTTGCTACTTCTTTCATATCTAACATCTTTCGTCCATGACCTCTCCTCCTATTTAGTTGGTTTTGTTATGTTTTGTTTTGTTTGTTTGTTGTTGTTGTTTTTTTTGGTGTGTGTGTTTGTTTGTTTGTTGTTGTTTTTTTTTGGGTTTTTTTTTTTGTTATGTGCATGTGCCTCTAATCTTTGACTCTCATATGACCTTGTTGTGTTCCAACTGCCGTAAAACGCTTACTAAAATACAGTCTTACATTCTTATGAATTGTGACAATCATGACAATCATTTCTATCTTGACAATCGTTACTGTCATAGCAATCATTTCAACCACGACAAGCCTAACAATCATTTCACTCTTGACAGTCAATACAGTCATGGCTATCATTTCAATCATGCCAGTGGTCACAATTGTTCTCATTTGTGTGTTCCAGATTCGTCCCTGGAGCGTGTGGATGGCGGAGAGAGGAGGGGCAGCCTACCGCTGGTCTCCACCTTCACTGACAGCATGGACTCTGTCTCCACCACCTCACGGCTCGCGGTATGTTGTTGTGGTTGTTGTTGTTGGTGCTGGTGGTGGTGTTTGTTGTTGTTGTTGTTGTTGTTTTTGGTGTTGTTGTTGTTGTTGTTGTTAGTATGGACTCTGTCTCCACCACCTTGCGGCTCGCGGTATGTTGTTGTGGTTGTTGTTTGTTGTTGGTGGTGGTGGTGTTTGTTGCTGTTGTTGTTGGTGTTGTTGTTGTTGTCAGTTTTGTTGTTGTTGTTGTTGTTGTGTTTTCTTTTGTTTGTTTTATTTTTAGAGGGCAAATCTAGCTTTGCAATATGTACACGAGGGAAGCTAGTGGGATAGCTCTTGTTGGTAAACGCCAACTGTTCCAATAAAATAGTATGTTCAATGCGTCTTTTGCTAATGACGTCTCAACTACCTACATAATACCTGCTCAGAGAGTAGAGGCCCAGAATGTTAGAAAAAGGTCAAATAAGTTCCGGATGAAGGGCTTAACTTTACGTTTGTTCTTTACTCTTTTATCAAGTAAACATTTACTTTATTATCACAGAGATCTTGGGTTCGAAGGCACTTTAGTTGAATTTTCCTCACTTCACTCAGTTGGGAATGGGTAACCAGCTGTAGACAGCGAAAGATCGTATTTAGTTCATAGACATGCTCAAGCTTAATTGGCTGCTTACACTGTATTATGCTTTCCGAGAAGCCAATAATATTTCTTCTGTTCTTGGGTCTGCCAGAGTAATAATATAGTGTAGAGAGCGTAGAGCTTGCTGTCGAGCGGGGATCTGAGCTATTTATAAAAGTAAAATTAGGAAAGCTCAACCTTTCAACCTTGCCGTACAAATCGCTATATACATGTACATGATATTTACAATAATAAAATTCACACAGGTAATTAATTAATCAGCTGTACCGAGCAACCCTGTCGTACAAATCGCAATGCCCAGTGTCCCGGCTTTGTGCCACCCTCCACACGCCCACCTCCGGCTGTCCTCAGTGTGTGTGCCTCTGTCCTGCTCCTCAGAATTTCTTCAGCAAGAAAGGCTTCAAGACGAACCTAAAGCGCACCAAAAGTGCAACAAAACTGGACCGAAAGCGGTCCAGCCCTAACCTGGCAGAGAACAATGACACGTGAGTACCTCTCGTTGACCTTATGACATTTTGGTGTGTCAGTGACCCTTGTACTCTGAACTTTCCTGTTCTTGACCTTGACCTCGATGTGGAGGAAAGGTCTGTGGAGTAATGTCAATCTGTGTGTGTGTATGAGGTGATGTGAGCATACGCATATGGTTTTCAATGTTGCCGCGGTTTTTTACAAGGGGTAATGGTAAGTGTGTGTTGGGGG